AATGGACAGCTTATCACCAAGCTGTCAAACGATCCAGAAGAACTTGCACCACTCACACCTAACCACCTACTACTACTACTAGCAGTAAAGTCCACCTAATAGCAGTCTGGTCCAACAGTCTGGGCACTTCGCCAAGAAGGATCTCTACAAGAGATGTTGGTGACAGGTTCAATACCTTGCTATTATTTTCTGGTCTTGCTGGTTAAAGGAGTACCTCCCATCGCTACAACATTGCCAAAAATGGTTGCACCCTCAACGGAATCTTCATGTTGGAGATCTTGTTCTAATCTGTTATGAGAACACCCCTCGCTGTAAGTGGCCTTTGGGTCTAATCATTACCACATATTCCGGGAAGGATAGGTGTATCCATTCAGTAAAAGTCAAGACCCAGGCTGGAGTCTACAACAGACCGACTCACAAGATCTGTCTCCTTGAGGCTCAACTGGCAACTGTGATAACTCAAGATCCCAGACAAGATAATGCTTAGAATTAAGGGACATTTGCTCAGCTTCAAATATTTGAGAGTTGAGTTTATTGATTTAGAGTAATTGGCCTTGACTTGGTCAAAACTGCCAGCATTTTTAAGGACTTGATTTGTCATGGGTCAGATGTGCATCAGAGCTGTAGGGAAAATAATTGTACAGCAATGTAAACTATAGTTATGTAAACTGTGGATTTTTTATATGTCTGGGATGGAGTCATGACAAGGTGTGGGATGGTCATTTTATGGTAAAGCCCAAACTTCCTGAGAGGGGTGACGATGCTGGTTGCACATACACTGATACGGAGCAGAACCAGCCTGTGCCTTTGAGTATACAAGTGCAATCCCAGCCATACATGTAGAATAGCTTGAAAGGGGTGCACATATGTAGTATGTCTGGGAATGGACCCCAGATTCAGGGGAATGTGTTACCAGCTGCATTTCTGTGCAAGGAACGAGACTACATGTACATTTGGGTCCATGTCATAAGGACTGAGATAAATGAAGTATGTCACCGTTCATATGATGTTCAAATGGACAATTTAGAAGAATATGAAGAGCGCCAATGAGACGTACATGTAAATGTTGTCAGCATGATTGCCCTGAAACAAATGCAGCTGATTTTTCGGACTACACAAAATAAATTGATGGAGGCAGAGACAGGAAAGCATGCAACATCTTAACAACTCCAGTCTGTCACGAATGTCTGTAAAAATGCACTTCACACAATCACTGATCTCCGAAGGAAATTGTTTCATTCTCTGGACCAACACAAACTCAAGTCTGACAAGATACCACCCTGCGGCTTTGATGATGACTTAGTCATCCAGTTTTATCCCATGGAACCCAATGTTGGACGGCTGCCCAACAGCAGCACCTCTGTACCAATTCTACATTTGCCCTGAAGAATGGATGATGCAGTCACAATGGCACATGGTTTTGGGAAGATTTTTTTCAAATTGAGGAGGAAAGAGAAACATTTTGGTCTGTTTTGATACATCAGGAATACTCAACCTGATGTTTTGTATTTGACTCTTAATTAATTGGTCAGAGGATGATTGATGCTGTTTATAGCACATTCAAAGACAAGATGATGTATTTTGTACAATTCCAGCAATTGTATTATAGTTCTTGCAATTGTCATTGCGTGAAGATGCTGGTGCCTGCTGGTATCATTGAACGTATTGAGACAATGGACTTATTTGCAAGGAACCATGCAATTTGATCACCAAGCAAACCTGCAGCTGATTTCATGAAACTCAACGTAGTTTACAATGAAAGTCATACTACCACCTTCGCCACAAGATAGACACTGCAAAATGATCTATTTTGCTTGACAGCTGTAAAACCAAAAGTCAAATCTCAGTGTATGGTGAATGTTCATTGAATAGGAATTAATACACACATGTACATACACCGGTAGTTGGATTTTTACCATTGCTAGCTGTTGTGTACTACTGGAATTCTTGGGGCTGATTTCTTGCAGCATTTCAGTTTAATGGTTGACAGTGAAAACAAAAAGGCTGTACACAATAAAACCTTCCGGACGGTTTGGGGCATCCTATATCACATGCATTCAGCCATCTTTGCTAGCCCTGATCCAAACACATCATACCTCGTCATTTTGCATCGGTACCAAAACAGCACTTGAACAGGCTTGCAAGCACAAATAAGAGGAATTTGAGAAAAAAAGTATTCAGCAATAAGGAGCACAGGATGGTATTTAAATAGACAGGCAACAGAAGAGTGTGTAGGAATTTGACGTTTGATCTGCTTAATGAATATTCATCTACATATATTGCAGACCAATGAATGGCCATTTGAAGACAACTTCAGTATAAAACTGTTACAGTTTCAAGTTTTCCCACTGTAAAATATTTCATCTCAAGCCACGGAAAACCTTTGTCAATTGACTTACAGAATGATAATAGTTCACCAAAATGAAGAAAATGATCTCACCGTCCGAAAAAGGCCAAACGACAGCTCAAAGGGAAAGAATACCATAAATGATTACATTCCTTGCAGTAATTGCTTTGGCTATTTCCATCGTCATTATCTGTGGAAACACAAAGCAATGTGCCTTTATAGAAGTAAAGATAGCAAGTCATGTAACAGAAGGGTGAATGCTCATACTGACAAAATTCAATCTGTCGGTACATGTACAAATGAAAAATGAACTTCAGGACACGAAAAGTGATCAAATTTCTCCGATTGTCAGAAATGACCAAGATATCCTACAGGTTGGGGTCATGTTCTGGGTAAAAGCAATTCCAATAGGAGCAGTGATAAGGCCAGGGAGAAGATGAGGACCCTAGCAAAGGTACAGGTACTAGACATCTCCAGACAGCTGAACAGCAGCATTCAGCAGGCAAAAGATATTGTAAAACCATCATCTTTTGATACTGTTGTTAGAGCAGCTTTTAAATTATCAGGTTATGATAGTAGTAACCAGTCATACAAAGCATACAGCACTGTCCTTAGGATAGGCTTTGCCCTCACAGAGCCAGCAGCTGTCGCAAAGAACAACTACATACATTCTGAAAATCATGTATGATGTCTGGTGCTGATGATTTTTTGCACTTGATAAAGTCAGAATGGAGAGGCCAAAAGATAGCTCAAAGGGAAAGCATACCATAAATGACTACATTCCTTGCAGTAATTGCTTTGGCTATTTCCATCGTCATTATCTGTGGAAACATAAAGAAATGTGCCCATATACATGTAGATGTAAAGATAGCAAGTCTACCAACAGTCATGTCAGAGAAGGGCGAATGCTCATACCGACAAAATTCAATCTGTCTGTACAAATGAAAAATGCACTCCAGGACATGAAAAATTATCAATGTCTCTGATTGTCAGAAATGACAAAGATATCCTACAGGTTCGGGGTCATGTTCTGGGTAAGAGCAATTCAAATAGGAGCAGCCATAAGGCCAGGGAGAAGGTAAGGACCCTAGCAAAAGAACTGGACATCTCCAGACAGCTGAACAGCAGCATTCAGCAGGCAAAAGATATTGTCAAACCATCATCTTTTAAAATTGTGCATGGTTCGAGCAGCTCTCAAATGTTCAGATTATGATTGAAGTACAATGTACATATGTACATTGTAATCAGTCGTACGTGCACAAAGCATACAGCACTGTTCTAATTAGGGTAGGCTTTGCCCTCACAGAGTTAGCAGCTGTCACAAAGAATAACTACATACATTCTGACAATCGTGAAAAGGTGTCTGGTGTGGATGATTTTTGCACTTGTTGAACATCGAGGTGACTGATTTTTCACAGGGTGTAGGGTGCAGTTGATCTTGTGGGTGAAAGAAAAATGGGAGGAAGAAGCTCTAAGTGTAGGCCTCAACACATCGTCTGCAACTGATGAAGATGAATGGGGAGGGGACGCCCTCTGTGTTTTTCATCATTATTGTGAATCCTGCTTGACGTTTGATGGTTGCGGGTGTTCTTGCGAAGGGAGACCTTCCTGTCTGTTGTGGGGACCCCAGTATTCTTAGGGAGCAAGATTTCCAGCAGATGTTGGTAACATTGTCTTCATTGTTCATGAGTGAAGGCAACAGTGATCTGCACGGCGTAGTGGAGGCAAAGAAAGGGGCATATGGCCAGATCCCAGTCAAGATAACGTCCAATGATATTCACTGTCATGAAACAGTCCGCCACATCAGATGTCTCCTTCAAAGTAATGCTTGGCCAAGGTGTGAGTGAGGTCTGCAGGATTCATAGAAGTGACTTGATGGCCCTTGCAAGTCGGGAGAAGATGAAGTCCTTCAAGGATGTGTCCATCAAATGCTCGATATCTAACAACAAGTTGATGAATCAACAGCTTCAGGAGAATGTTTCCCTTCTGCAGACAGACAGGAGAATCCTGCAATGCCTAAGTCTGGCTTTGAAGAACACAGTAGCCTCCATGTTGGAAAAGGAGAATGTAGCTGTTGATAGAAATCAGCATGAGCAATTACGGACGACAGTGAAATCATGTCATTCAAAAGAATATGTTGCAAGGATGATGAAATACCAGTCGCCACCCATGTCATGGTTTGCATTAAGCCTGTTGCGGGTACCCGGGTACCATGTGGCAGTGGATATGTAAAGGAAGCACAATACAGAGCACATTCTGAGGGCATGATATGGAAGGGGCCAGCAGATCTGTTCGTTGTGCTGATGATGTCCAACTGTCTGCTACTCTGCATCAATATCCATTGATATGACATGGGAAGTAGCCATGTGTGAGCTAAAGGTCACCCCAGAATGTAAATTCTTTGCTAACATTCCCAGTGCTCAACAGTTGCCTTACGGTACCTTTCACGGATGGTTGAGATTTGGGGGGTATTGAATGTGTGTGTGGGGAACAGTGAATCCAGTGAGCTGGTCAAATGGTTACACCTCTATGTTCCGACACCCCTATGTTCCGACTGCACATATTCCTATTCCTAACCCTAACCCTAACCGGGAGTAACACAATATAGGTTGTCGGAACATAGGGGTGTCGGAACATAGAGCAGTCACCGGTCAAATCAATGGAAGGTACATGTAGTAGGGGCCTAATTCAGGCAGAGATGTTTATCACACATACCCAAATGCCACCATTCGTCATAAGATGTGCACACTGCTGGTGCAGAAGCCACGATGCAATGTGCGTCGGATTCATCAAGTATAGATCTGCATTCTTTGAGCTTTCAGCTAAGGATAAGTGTCCTCATCATGTTGCAAAAACAAGGAATGATATGCTGTCTGCAAAACAGCTCAGGGCCAAGGCTGCACTTTCGCAGGCACAGAAGAGAACCTTGCTACCTAAAAACCAGGGGCTCACCAGCAAGATGCAACAAACAATGGAGACTGAAAGTATCCGTCTTCCCCTCAACAAAATGCTGCATTTCAAGATGCATTCGAGGAATGTGATTAAACCATCACATAGGATATCAAGGCATCCTCAATTTTAAGCGGCGTACAATCTTCTTTGTAAAAGTGGTTTCATGAACCTCGCTGAAATCGTCCAAGTTGAAATCCCCAAACATGAAATGCTCCGAACCTTATGCAGCCATTTTAGAATGATAACGTTGTGTTTTGCGCATGTGTGTAGGAAGTTATACATACCTTCCCACAGTGCCACGCCAGTTGGTCAGGCTAATTAATTAGATTGATGTACTATTTACACAGCTAGCCTGCGGGCCCCCGACTCCCACTGTTTCTATGACTGCGGTGACCATCAATCTTCTGCAGCATCTCCAATGTCTCATCACACAACAGGCAGCCAGTGGAGATATCTGGACAACGCAAACTTCAATGGAGAGATCTGGGTGAAAATACAGGTACATGTATGTATATAAGAATTCTAAGTGTCACTTTCTTTTCGTCTTCTTTTTTGGTGCTAATTTTCCTTTCAGATTTCAGCTTCAGGAAATTATGGTCTCAGTTTTTGATGATTCCTAATACCTTGAAAGTTTTATTTTATCCAAATCATCTAATGGAAGATGCCATTCAGGCAACTGTGGTTATAGTGACCTTGTATTACATATGAAAAAATAATACTTGGGCACACCTTTTAAAAAGTGAGATGAACAAAAAGACTAGCTGGCTTGGCTGCAAGTTGCAAGGGAATAACATGCATGTTTGGAAACACTTTGTCTAAACACTTGCTTCTCTATTATTTTTCAGAAAACATACATGTTGTGAAATTTAGCATGAAAAAATATCGGCTGTGCTATAGAAAAAGTGAACGATAATTGTTTAACTTTAAGCCTGTTGAAAAATTAAAATGACTTAAATGTCAGGAGGATATGCCAAACAAAAGTGTGTTTATTTAAAGCGGGGAATGATGCATTACTGATAGTCAATTGTTGTTTTCTTGCATTAAATACAAGTAACAATCATTTTCCCTTTTCTTTATTTTCAACAGGGAGACAAGGGGGAATCCAGTACAAAGCTCGCAGTACATGTGTGTAGTTCTACACAGATGGGAATTCAGCAGACAAGACAGATTTGGTAGGAATGTTTCATGGGTCAGACACATGCCAACATGCAGTTAGTCTTTGCCATTTTCAGGAAGCAACTTCCTAACATACAAATAACATCAATGATTACTGTAGTTGTGTCTCCCAAGTTGGAGAGTATGATTTTCTGTGTAAAGTAACAGGACATATGGGAGCCAGCTTTGCCTTCCATACCTTTGGTGTTCCATTCCCCGCAAGTGGGGAAACCATTCTCCTTAAATTAGAGATGATGCTTGTGAGGGCTGGGTAGACAAACGACATGAACCAGACCAGATTGTACAGGATCTAGCTGATAAGTTGGCAGATCCACGGAGGAGTGGTAACACCAAGGCAAATGGCCCTTCCCCCATAACTCTAGTGCCAACCAATTGATCCTACCTATCATTCATGATACCAAACACATAGCTCCACCCATCCTCAATATTACGTCAGGTTTTGTAGTTAGATACCGTGACATTGAAAATCTATGTACAAGAAGGGATCAGTGTAATAGTCTACATTTGTAGGTGAAAGAGATGAGGAATTGAATGAAAGATTGCATTTCAATTGAGGCAGAAGAGAATGAGAGGCAACACAGTCAGGCAGTAAAGGATTTAGTTGTTGCGGGCTTCAAAAAAGTGATGGTAACCCTTTCTCGTCAACTGGGTTGCAACATACAAGATCAGCATTAGGGCAACATGGGTGTGTACAAGTTGCAAAATTCAAAAAAGATGGAAAGCGGTCCTGGAACAAAGCAGATTACTGCTTATATTGCGGGGAAAAAGAACAAGCAAAAGTTGCACACCATTGCTTAATGAAACACAAATACAAACATCTAGTCAGTGAAATAAAGCTCTCCCATGGAAGTCTATAGAAAGAAAACAAAAAATCACTGTTCTTAGCAACAACAAAAATTACTTCCACCACAATCTGTTGGTTTGAGAAGATGCTCTGGGCAACTTGTTCCCCAGAAACGTCCAACAGCAGATGAAGCAGCTCCAGAGTACCAATACCTACTTTGTGAGTGTTGCCAGGGTAGCTTCAAGACAGATGGTTTATGGAAACATCAAATACCGGTAGAGTATGCCAAAAGAAATATAATGTTGAGAAAGCACCGAACACAGTTAACTGCAAAAATGCTGATCCCTGAAAGTTATAATGGTAAGGCAACTGAACGTCTGAAGACAAATGTAATCAGTCCAATGCTGGCAGATGACATCACTGCATGTACGAGGAATGATGCTGATATCTTGTCATTCGGGACAAAAAAAATGAAAGACCATCCGGAACCACATCAAGCACTTCCCATGTCACAAAACATGCGTGACGTCGATGTAGAAAGGGATTTTGGTGGTGGTGAAGACCACATTGAATCCAGAACAGTTGTCTGATGAGGAGCTTTGCAGAACTGTAGAGAAGGAAGCCAGAATGATATTGATGTTGGAAGCATCCCTTCATCTCCTCCTCTGGATCGATGTCAATCTCCAGCGGCAACAGCCTTACGCTATAGTGACCCACCACTACTGGGGGACAAGGACCAAGTGGAAAGCCCTTAAGGAAAAGCGACTGCTGGGTGTTAATCCCCTGGGTTAACCGCCTCAAGCAGGTAATGGAAGGACTGGCTGCAATCCACAGAAGATGAGTGAGACACAGTGACTTAAAAGGTAAGTACAGTATTCCATGTTGGTACACTCACTTGGTTATAAAACCATCAAGTCCACCTTATAACAGAAGACAATTTAATTCCAAACTTTTATTTATAACTTTTAGTTAACAAATGCGTTGACAAAATGGACCCAATGTGCATGACTAATTGAAAAGAGCGTACATAACTCAATTGCATGGCTGCAGCAAGTTTTTTTTATGCACGTATAATATTTGGCTGTCTGGTACCAAAAGTCAGAGTGGAAGGAGAATGGCAGAGAAGAGGATGGAGTAGTTCCAAGCAACTGGCTCAGTGGGAATCATGCTGTGGCCGCCACTTGTGAACAAAAAGGAGCTCAACAAAACGTTGAGATTATTTGAGCTCATCAAAATAAACTTTAGCTCAGGTATGTACTGCAGTTGAAATTTCCTAAACACAAAGCTCGGCACGTAAGATTTCATATCCGTCTGTTTTTTCTTTTTGAAGATACATGTACCGTAGCTCTTTTAATTTCAATGGAACAGGTCTCAATTCACAATTTTGTTGTTTATTAAAAAGTGTACTGTTATACTCAAATTCCGATCTTTCCGAGGTACATGTAACCATTTTGGATTCTAGATGATCTATGACGCAATCTGAGGCATTTCGTGACTTCAAAGTTGGGAACGAAGTATTTTTCTTACTTTTCTGTTTTCAAGTAATTGCAAGGTTAATTTTGTTCAATTCCTCTAGGTATTCAAGCCTACAGCAGAGTACATGTACATCATAGTAAAGGTCCAACAGTATATGCTGCTGCACTGGTGTATGTTTACACCATGTCGGAACAGAATACAAATAATGAAAAACTAGGGTTGTACCAGGGTATCTGTAACCCGGCCGCTGATTACAGGTACCCAGTTCCATTATCAATTTTATTACCTGAAACTGCCAGAACCATAATATTAGTCATATTAAATTAATCCCAGTAATTCAATGTTAGATCCATTTTCTTGGGGTTAATTACAGCTAGAATTACAGTCTGGGCCAAGTGAGGAATATATTAAACCAGGGAACAAAATCACGATCGTCTTTCAAATAAATTTCTTCCAAGAAGAGCTTCCGGTCAATGATTGACAGCTGACTTGCATTTGTACAGTGTAACACAATGTGTATTTTTTTGGAGATACCTTAACTTGGCCAAGGAAAATTCTTTTGAAATACGCTTTCGGATTGTCGAAGGCCTTTGAGAATATCTGTGCGACACAACTTATCAACTAATGAAAATGAAGAATTTATAAACTGAACTTTGGGATTGGATGACGATCTTGTCACTGGGGCATTGGGCAGCACTTGGGGTTTGCGGACTAGCTGTGCCAGGATGTTTGTACTGGAGATCACAATTGATAGCAGGCAGTGATTGTAGTTAAAATCTCAGAAACGCTCGGCAGTAGAGAGGGCAGCGACGTGGTCGAAAAAAAATAATAATTCCGGGTTTTGTTATGATTTTTAAAATAATCACGGGTACCCAGGTCCCAACAAAACCCGTATACACACACCCCTAAAAAGAACTCACTGGAAAAGACAGTGGTTGCTGAACCATGCATGAAGAGCCAAGGGCATTTTGCAGCCTTGTCTTGATGGATTGAATAGGACTATTGGTCCAGATTATTGGTCACTCAATAGCAGTGTGTAACTTTTTGGGACGAAAATTCAGTTGTTACTCATGCTGCTTTTAGTTGACAGATTCACGTCATATTACATTCCTCAGTTACCAGATTCAATTCTAGATATTGGAATCCTGGCTGTGAAGCCACTGATTGTTTTGCTCAGGATTTGTCCCCATATACAGAGATGCCACAGGGTCTGCTTGAAAAAACCGAAACTGGGTCTGCTTGAAAAAAAACCCAAAACAGACCAGCTGCTTTAAAAATCAGAACTTTATTTTTTTTTTGTGAAAACAAAGTCCCCATTCTCATATTTCTCGTGTAGCTAAGCCCAATTCCATTTTATGTTTTATTTTTGCTTCTATGACCTATAAGCTGTCGGTTTGTTCAATCACTTTGACTTTTTCTATATTCCTATAATTAATTCTGCCTACTCGAATTTCCAATGTAATATGCGACACGAAACATGCACGATTCAACAACAATGTTTGTGTACATGACCTTTGCACTGCGCGATGCGTAAGACGAAAACATGGTTGGTACCCGGCGTTTTTTGTATTTACATATACCACTGCAATTGGAAACCACCGATAACTGAAATGATAGACTTGATTTTCAGGCTGAATGCTAGGGGTGCTGAGCACACAACACGCCCGCATGCCGTGAAGCACGCGCGAGGCGCCGTTGTATACTGCTTGCAAGTGCGTTGGCTGCCTGTTTTGCATACAGGCTCGATAACAACAAGACTTGTTTTTAAGACTACTTCAACGTTAATGCGACATTGTGCCGTATGTGCGTGTACCTAATTGTACTAAACTAAAAAAAGCTAAAAAAGTAAAAATCAACGCATTTCCCCAGTTCTTCTTCTCTTTGTCCAGTTTATTTTGACGGCTGGAAAAACCGGAATTCTGTGAGATTAAAAAACCCCAGAAATTCTGCTAAAACCAGAAAAGTGGCATCTCTGCATATAATAATTGGATTTGCCCTCCTTTTACCATGAAACTAGTGAAGTATACCTCAGTGGGAACAGTGTGCTGAAATGGCCATTGAAAGTTGGCCAATCCATAAATAAATTTACGAGACTTACCTGCCTTGAAGCAGGGAAAGTAAACACAGGATAGAGCCAAGTTGCATGCACCAAACCTGAACAGAGTCATGGACTGGGAAGGCTGCTTCATCAGAACAGGAACTGGACAGGCACAGCTAGGGACTTGTATGCAGCAACACACATGAAGATCTATAATATATATGTAAAAAAATCCTAAACCAATTAAAATGAAATTGCAATTCAATAAGAGTACACATAGGAGATACATGTACACACCATTACAAGTTCAAGCCTGAGGGTTATGGATTTCCATTACAGCATAAATTTGTTTTTGTCTTTGCCATTTTAAAGGGAATATACATCATTTGCTTTTGCTGTAAGTTTCAGAAATGGATGGAATTGGGGGGTTAGAAATATATAGCAAATATAGTTACACTGACTTTTTTTTAGGTTTTGGGTTCGAAAATGGTATAAAAACCAAGAAAAACAATCATTTTCCTTTAGTCTGGTTCCCTGACTCCATTTAAGAAGAAACAGAGCAGTTTACATACATTGGGGAATTGTAAGGTCAGGGAACCAGTCTAGCTGGCTTGTACCCTGTTCATAGGTGTGTAATGGATTGCAAACAAGTGCGATGGTCAACTGGGGCCAGTATTTGAAAAAAGCCAGTTTTTTCCAACGCTGGTCGGACGATCAGCGTTGGAAATTGATACAAAAATACCATTTTTCTTGAAAATGACAGTATACCAGGTGCCATGATTTTACAGAATGCTTTACACTGTCATTTACTAACAGTCCAGCAAGGTTTTTCAAAATGATTTGGTAGTTTTATTTTTTGATGTTTGCAAATGTTGTATTTTCCCTTTAAGGAGACTTGTCCATGTTGCACCACAAATTGACCATGTACGGTCCTAACTTGACCCTGCCTGAAGTTATGCGTGTGATAGCTGGCACCCAGTATGGTTTCATAATGTTATCTTCTGAGTTGTTAGTCATCTATCAACATTTCATGGTTTGACGTATAGTCCGAAAATGTGGGACTCTCAATACCGAGTATGAGACTGAGTCCCAAACCAACCTTAGGTCCCTAGGGTGTGTGGAAACTCATATGAAAATTGAAGGATTCAGGGCTTTTAGGTACTGAAACATGCGATACAAGAATATAGACTGGCTCTGAAACAACCAGTCTAACAACTCTTCAGTACTGCATCAATCAACTGTGCCAAAAAAGGAATATCTAGGATGTCGGGTACTAGTTTCTATTTCTACACATAATTCTCCATAGTCAGGCACCAGACTAATGACAATGAATGAAAACGTCAGGTTTTTCAAACGGTTGGACCATGGTTGGACATATACCAGTCTACATGTGTCTTTAGCCTCATATTCAAATCACTTGACTTCCCTCTTATGTGTAAAATATTGACAAAAGTCTCCTTTAAAAATTGAGTTGATCTTATAACTTGGTTAGTGAAATACTGAGGACCTTTTCTTTGCCAAATGAAAATTTTGGTGATTTTTGCTGGCTCAAGAGTGAGTAAAGTTGGCCTGATTTGGTTTTGCATGAATTTCAGCACTCCAGGTCCCAGTCTGGGTTGGACGAAATCCCGGTACATACCGTTATTTCATTTTACCGTTTTGGATTTCTTCAAAAACAAAAACAGTAAACGAGCCATTGACCGTTTTGTCATTTTACAGTTTTGTAAAAACGGTCAAACGGTATTAAGATAAATACGATTATTCCGTTTTATCAGTTTAGTAAAATTCATTACAGCATAACGATCAATGATTTTTGTTTGACAGTTTTACACATATAACTTTGAAGAACAGCGAAACGGAGTATTGAAAACAGACTGGATTTTTTCAGTGTCATAGTTAACAGTCCGTGGTGCATTTTGGGGCAGTTGGCAACGGGGGTGGATGGGGACCATGACGTGCATGAAGAACTGTTACCTCGGCATCTATTGCGATTCAGTTGGTGGGGCTTAAAGAGTTGCAAGCAAAAATGGCGTTGGAAAATTTCACAATGGATGCAGGATGGTAAGACGTATGAAGAAGTTGCAGATGTTGAAGGAATTGGGAGTCCAGCATGGCTCTTCAAAAGTCAATATTCTCAAATTCTGTCGTGAGAACAACATAAATACAAGGAGGGCAATTTAGAGCCGAGCTGAACTCCAATTTCCTTCAATATCTGCAACTTCTTCATACATCTTACCATCCTGTATCCATCGTGAAATTTCCTCCTTGAAATTTTCCATTTTTTCTCGCAACTCATTAAGCCCCACCAACTAAATTGCAGTAGATGGGGGGTCAGGGTTGAAGTGAGATGAATCAATGAAGAACTCAGAGGAGATTATTCTCAGGTTCTGTGCCACTGCAGCTTTATTCATCAGACATAATGTAAGAGTGAGCGCGGGCGAACTGTTCACCTAATGTGCTTGCGCACATACAAAGTAGTGCTCATGAAGTATCACAACATCCCTCCCCTTTTGAAAGTACAATTTCAGGAATAATTATTGGTGTACACATAAAACTGGAATTTACTTAATTAGCAAGCATTTACATGAAATGTGTAGTGATGGCTTTTCAATTGACAGACATATGAAACATTGGTGGCCATATCTTACTGACAACTACAACTTTTGTTTCTCTGCAATAGTTTCTCTGCAATATGTGGCACACAGTCTTAGTACCTTCTTTTCGAACGGTAACAAATTTAACTTTAACAGTAACAAGTTAACTTGAACAGTAACAAAGTGAACTTTAGTACTTTCTTTCTTTTGAAATTTGACTTTGGTACTTTCTTGCTTTCTTCCTTTTTGAACTGTTAACAAATTTAACTTTAAACAACAATAAATGTACTGAAACGGGTTTAATAAACATATGAAACTTTGAGTTCTGTTTCAAATCGTGTGGGTTATTTTTTGTTTCCATATGAAATTAAATGTGAAATATCGTTTCTGAACCAAATTGTTTGAAGTATCTGCTATGTATAATCTGGGTGTGTGATATTATTCAGTGTATCTGGCTGGTTTTCGGATTGTGCGTCCAGATTTTGTTTTGCGAGTGACAGTCGGAGACTTGTTTCGATCTGTGTTGTTTCGGTCTGTTTTGTTTCGGTCTGTTTGTTTCACAGCTTCTGTGTCTAGCTTTTTGTTGGACAGTGGAAGTGATTCATCAGCGAATCGAACTCGTTTGGGCGTAGCCAGGGATTTCATTTGGCTGGGCATCTCACGTAGGTGCGAACGGTTGCGACGTAGTCTGTGTCCATTGGGTGTGGTGACTTCATATGATCTAGGTTCCTTACAGACTGTTGTGACTTCACCAGGCAACCAAGTGTGGTTCTGCTGGTCCAGGATTCGCACTCGTTGGCCAACATAGAGTTGTGGGAGTTCTTTTACTGCTTGTTTGGCATCATGGTCGGTCTTCATCTTTTGTCGTCTTGCCTCTAGCTGGTCTCTGATATCCTCAGCTTTCTGGGGGTTTGCTTGCAGGTGGTTGTTTGGCAAGGTAGTTTGTATCGGTCTGCCGAAGAGAATTTCAGCTGGTGACGGTAGTTTGGAGTCCACAGGGGTTGCACGGAGGTTCAAGAGTGCTATGTCGACATTTTGTCCAGACTTCTGGCATTTCTTGATCACTGACTTGACGGTTCTGACTGAACGTTCCACGAAACCGTTTGAACGTGGATAACGTGGAGACGAAGTTGTGTGCTTGATGCCCCATGTGTTACACATGTCTTCGTAGTGTTTGCCTACGAATTGGGGGCCGTTGTCTGACATAACCTCAGCTGGTGCTCCAAGGAGGCTGAATGTGTGTGAAGTGATGCCAGCAACTGCTGCACTGGTTGTGCTGTTCAACTTGTGAACGACAGGGTACTTCGAATGATAGTCAACTATCAGTAGATAGTTGTCTCCGTGGATTTCAAACAGATCAGTGCCAAGTTTGGTCCAGGGGGTCGAAGGTACTTGATGTGGCTCCAATGGTTCCTTTTGCTGTTTGGGTTGGGATTCCTGGCAGTAGGAACACGCTTTGACAAGTTCATCAATATGGCGATTGATGTTGGGCCAGTAGACCGACTCTCTGGCTAGACGTCTTGTCTTCTCTATACCCATATGGCCTGTATGGAGCTGTTGTAAGATATCCGTCTGAAGTGAGTCTGGAATGATGACCTGTCTTCCTTTGAAGATTATTCCCCAGGAGATACCAAGCTCATCCCTGTATGGCCAGTAGACCCGTAGGTCTCGAGGTAGTTCCTTGACGGAGTCTGGCCAGCCACTGTATATTATCTGACACAGTGCACTTAGTACAGGGTCTCTTGCTGTTTCTCTCTGCAGTTGCTCTTGCTTAGACTGCCCAAAATGCACAAGGTCCATGCACATGGCGTCTTGGCCTTCATAGACATCAAAACTGCCGACCAGTCTGTCTAGGGGTATGTCATCACTCTTTGTCGGGTTTGGCAATCTGCTCAGGGCATCTGATAGCGTCATTGTTTTCCCTGGTCTGTACTGTACGTCAAAGTTGTATCCTTGCACCTTAATTAGCAAGCGTTGCAGACGAGGTGGTGCACTCGAGAGGGGTTTCTTCCAGATCATCTCAAGTGGCTTGTGGTCAGTGTGGAGTGTAAACTCTTTCCCGAAGAGATAGCTATGGAACCTGGTGATGCCGAACACTAGGGCTAGTGTTTCTCTCTCTATGTTAGAGTAGTTGGCTTGTGCCGGGGAAAGACTCTTCGACGCAAATGCTATCGGCCTGTTGTTTTGAAGAAGGCAGGCTCCCAGACCCTTCTGTGATGCGTCGACTTCCAGCACAGTGTGTATCTCTGGGTTGTAGTACTGGAGACACGCTTCAGTGGTGATGGAATATTTCAAGGCTTCGAATGCTGCTTGATGGTCATCCTGCCACAGATATGGCACATTCTTCTTCAGGAGATCCCTGAGGGTCGCTGCTTTGTCCGCCAGGTTAGGGATATATGCAGAGACGTATGTGATCAGGCCTAGGAATTTTTGCAGGTCTTCCTTGTCCTGAGGTGTTGGAATGCTGTGGATGTCCTCAATTCTGCCTGGGTCCGGCCGGATGCCGGTGTCGGAGTACAGTGACCCAAAGAAGTTGATTTGGTTTGTCTTGATGTGGCATTTGTTGCTGTTGAAAACTAAGCCTTCACGGCTGGCTGTTTGAAGTAGATTCAGGAGGTTGGCATCGTGTTCTTCCTCAGTACGGCCATATACAGCAACATCGTCAGCAATGCCGACGCATCCTGGGACCTGTTCTATGATGTCGTCCATGCACTGCTGGAAGATGTCTTGGCTGATGGAGAGACCAAATGGAAGGCGCTGGAAACAGTACCGGCCAAATGGCGTTCGAAAGGTGGTCAGCTCTTGGGATTCTTCCTCGAGCTTGACGGCCCAATACCCAGCTTTAGCATCAAGCTTCGAGAAGAATTTGGCTTGAGAAAATGCTGGGTTGAGTTCCTCCAGTGTGGGTATTTTGTGCGGACATCTCTTGAGGCTCTGGTTCAGCCGCTTAGGATCCAGACAGACCCTAAGTGTCCCATCTTGTTTGAAGCTCGTGGTTATCGAACTACACCAGTCGGTGTGATGGGTGACCTTTCTAATTACACCTTGCTGTTCCATCTTGTCGATCTCTATTTTGAGCTTCGGCTTCAGGTGTATGCTACACTTCCTGGGCGCGTCAATGCTTGGTTTAGCATCCTCCTTTAGATGAAGAGTTGCTCTGGCTTTGAAGTTTCCAATTGTGTCAAATTGGTTGGGGTACAACCTCACGAGGTCGTGGACCGACTTGATGGTGTCATGTGACAGATTTTGGGGTTCACCCACTCCTGGTTCTTTGGGTGATGCAGGGGGTTGAGGTGACGATTCAGTGGAGTGGATGGTGACCACTTCAAGCTCGCTGCACATGGGCAGGCCGGCTATGGCTGGTCCGGGTACATCTACGACGTAGAATCTGTTCTTTGTCCACTTCGGTGTCTTGTAGCGGCATAAAAGCTCAATGCACCCTAGGCATACAATCTCTGTACCGTTGTATGCCGTCAGCTTGGTCTTCACAGGCTGGACGAAAGACTTCCATCGACTTCCATACATCTGTTTGATCGTACGGAGTGGCAACGTGTTTCCTCCGGCTCCAGTGTCAACTTTTGTGATTAGTCGGTGTTTGCCGATGAGGTCGGGGCAGATAACGTCAAGCGTTGTGTATGCCTCCCTGTTGTTGTCTATCAAGCTCATGCAGAGGTTCGAGACAGTAACTGTGTGGAATACTGTTTCATATTCCTCTGAAGCTTCTGCTGAATGGATGGGTTGTTCATCTCTGTTGGTGTCATTTGGCTTCTGCTTGCCGGCATTGGATCGACTTTTGGATCTTGGTCTGCGAGTTGTATTTCCTCGCGATGGGCTGCGGCCACGTCTGGACGGAGATTTGCCCTTGCGTTTACCCTGGCTTCGGGTCTTTCTGCAGAATTTGGCCCAATGGCCCTTGGAACCACATGATTTACATGTGTCCCGGTAGGCAGGACACCGTCTTGGTGGGTGGGATAGACCACAGTTGCCACAGGTTCTGCCAGTGGGTCAGAAAGCATGGACAGCTGTATGTGACGCCTCCAACGTCTCAAGGCACTTTTTGCCAGCAAGGATGGCTTCGTACTTCCGTCCCTCTTGTAGCATGTCATCGATGCTAAAACCAATGGGTTTGTCTAGAAGATCTTTCTGGAAAGATTCAGATGTGGTAGACGCAATCACTAATTCGATGATGCGTTCCGTCATTTCCTCTGGCCCGAAGTTACATTCGTGTGCCTTTGCTCGGCATCTGTTGACGAAGTTGTCCAGGGATTCATCTGGTTTCTGGCGATACCGCATAAGCTCCAGGCGATGTATGCGGAAGTTCACTTTGATGTGAAGCTGCTTCTCGAACAACTCCCATAACTGGTTGGGGATCAGTTGTTCTTCTGCTGACAGGCTTGAAGAATTTATCATTTTGAGGCCTCCAGTTCCGACTGCTATTTGTATCTTAACAGCACGCTTGGCAGGATCGGTGATTTCCTGGTCCCTGAAGCTCAGGTCCATCCGTTGTTTAAAAAGCTTAAACTCTTCTGCGATGTCTGTGGCACCCCAGTTCATTTCTGGGAACTTGGCCATGATGCAGGGCTGTGGGATAGAAATCTCTGGGATACAATTCAATATGCTACAGCACACGAAATTGTAAACAATAGCAACTGCAATGTAGCTTAAAGGTAAGTGCTACGATTAGTGATCACAATAAATCACAACAATATAATTATTTCAATAATAATTTTGACTATTCAACAATATATTTGTCAAAACACATATTATTGTTCATATATGAAATGTCCAGAGTTCTTTTGGTAAGCAGTCCTTTCTCCAAGAATGTCCAAACACAGTTTGTCCTGCTTTTCCACAGAAATGAGCGATGTACTGTCAGATTTCCAACTTGACTTGATGTCCCGTACAGGCCTCCGTAGATATGATTGATGCACAGTTCCGGCACTGGCGGATGAATACGGCGAATGTTCACTGTGATGAGCGGGAAGCGCACAGTTCCGGCGATGATGCGGAGTGATAGGGTCAAAGGTCACACTTGACGTAAAGATGCGTTAAGCGGTTCACAGGGCTGGTGATGTTCACGGAACTATTTGTTCATACGCACAGCTACAAGAATGTGTGCACGATAGCGAAACAATGTTTAACAATATGAAGGTGATTCAAAGGTGTACATTGTTACGTGAACTGGCTGGGTAGGGGGGGGGGGGCTGATGATCACTCCCGTAGATCAGACTTTTGACAAAGTTATTGTAGTGACTTGCCTTGGTCACGCGATGGTGCGACGGGCTGGTCCCTGACCGGTCGACCGTGTGTACGGGTCGAGTAAGCTCGGTCGAGTCCCGGTACGGTCGCGTCAAATCGGAGCTCGATCAGCTTTCACTCAGCTCCACGAAAAAGACGAAAGAGTCCTCTGTCGCTATGATGCCGATGGTCGACTCGGGGCGAGGGGTTTTCTCTTGTCCGTGCTGTCCACAGCACGGTGTAGCGGTCCGCCTCAGCGTTGGCTCGGTGATGGCTTAGGCTTGGCCTCAGTCCGGCGATGACTCCGGGCTAGGCTACGCACGCAGCTGAGTTTCAGTTACGTTGCGTGCGGTGTGCAGTGGGCTTGGCGATGGTGGGTGTGCGGCATACAGTGTGTGATGTGGTGCGCTGAATCTACGCATGCGGCGAGTACATATGGATATGTACAGTTCACACTGGTGATCACAGCGGAAACGTTGTTGTCGCGGAGACAATTTCTGCTGATCTCCGGTAGTTTTCAGTTACTCTGCTTAGTTGAGAGTGATGGGTGTTCCCTGGCCTTTTTCACCACCGCTGCCACCATGAAGTGAGATGAATCAATGAAGAACTCAGAGGAGATTATTCTCAGGTTCTGTGCCACTGCAGCTTTATTCATCAGACATAATGTAAGGGTGAGCGCGGGCGAACTGTTCACCTAATGTGCTTGCGCGCATACAAAGTAGTGCTCATGAAGTATCACAACAAGGGTCACGCCAGGAATCACACCACGCATTAATTATGTCGAGGTAACACTTCTTTGTGCACGTCATGGTCCCCCTCCACCCCCTTGCCCATCGCCACAAAAATGCACCACGGACTGTTAACAATGACACTGAAATAAAGAAAAACAGTCTGTATTCAATACTGACCGTTTTACTGTTTTTCAAACTTATTTGTGTAAAACTGTAAACAAAAATCATTGGTCGTTATGCTGTAATGAATTTTACTTAACAGATAAAACAGAATTTATAACTGTATTTATATTAATACCGTTTGACCGTTTTACAAAACTGTAAAACGACAAAACGGTCAATGGTTCGTTTACTATTTTTGTTTGTGAGGAAATCCAAAACGGTAAAACGGAATAACGGTATGTACCGGGATTGGACGAGTGTTCCTGTTCTTTAAGGTGTGAAACACACTTCAAACATATTACTCCCTAAAGAAGATTATGGCAATTGGTATCTATAGGTTATTTAGAACAGCACTCATTCACTCACTTGTTTAGACCAGAGAACAATCATCATTGTAGAAGAAAATAGTGATAGTGACAGAGCCATCAGTAACGATTCTGAATTTGCTGATGATGGGGTCTGTGTTGACAGGGGTGGAGATGATGCACACAGGCCATGATGCAGGCAACGATGACTTACATGCAAGTTGAGATCAATGGTCTAGTTGACTGGCGCATAAACCATCCATCCCATTCAAACATACACGCAAGCTTACCTGAAAACAAATCACATGTATATGATACAGGTCAAACTTTCAAAGGAGATCATTTTTTTGTCTCTAGCATGTCTAATATAGTGATTTTCCAGAATAAATGTTTAACTAAAATTTCAATGTAAGAGAGGGGTCTATCAGGACATAATTTCCTGACAAGCATGTTGGATTTCTGGCTGGAAAGAAAGTAATTAAGCTATACTTTTTAATTCAAAATTTTGCCCGTTGCCATGGTAATGGGCCATTGTGTTTTGGCCATTTTGGGCCAATTTCGAGGCTGCAAAAATTGATGATTTTTTGGGCCTTATTTTCCATGTGAGGTAATGTACATGTAACTGTATCAAGGCACAGCATCACCCTTACTCTAACAAGAACAAAATAGAAACACTTTTTAAATTTCATCTTTATATTATTTATATTATTATTAGGCCCAACAGTTTCAGCATGTTTTCACAATCTAGCAAAATTGCATTTTTACCCCATTTTTAACCCTACAAAATGCCACTTGCTAGGGCACTCAGAATAATTTCGTTTTGGCCACGGTTAGTTCACTTCAGACACTATTTAAGCTTGCTTTTTTGTGAAAATCACCTTTTTTTGGAGCACTACTGCTCAAGGGTATACAAAACCCCAAGATGTTTTCACCAGATATGAAAACACTAATATCTGAAGTATAACCATGAAGCCAAAAGGAAATTATGAGTGCCCTGGCAAGTGGCATTTTCAAGGGTTAAAAAAGGAATAAAAAATGCAATTTAGCTAGTTATAAAAACATGCTATATTACGGGGCCTAACAATAATAAAGTGAATTTTCTTTGTTTTCAATTGTTTCTCAATTGCATGGGTAAGGATGATGCTTTGTCGTGATATAGTTACTTTTGTGACATTACTACACATTTTGGCTTCATGACCTTTGAAAATAATGCACAAAAATGAATTTTTGCAGACTCAAAAATGAATTTTTGCAGCCTCAAAATTGGCCCGAAATGGCCAAAACATATAGTGGCCAAATACCATGGCAACGTGCAAAATATTGATTTAAAAGTCTATTTTGGTTACTCACTCCCCAAGTCCTTTCATCATAAAGTTTTTAAAAATCTGATTTTTTGAGAATGGAAACTTAAGCCTACATGTATAGGAAGTAGTTACATGAAATGAGTCTTGAACAACTTTTTTTTATGTTCACGTGGGAATTTCTGAGATTTGCTCAAGTGTGCCACATTCAGGAATACTCGGCCAAATTTATGCCAAAATGTTCGAATGTAGGGCAGTAAACTCAGGCCAAGTCAGCACTCGCAGGAAACGGAAATTTGTCACGACTTACATGAATACCAACATCTGCTGTAATTCGTCATTTTGCTGACTTACATGAATGGCTATTTTGCACATATGTTTCATTGCACTAATTGGCTTTGATTACCCTGGTTTATTTCCTTAATGCTCAAGTTGATTCCAGCAAATTAATCCTCCAATTTTATCATCGCGCTTGAGGTATTGATACAATGTAGTGGAGACCACGTATACAAAATAGTATATGGTACGTGTACAGTTACGAATTAAATGCGTGCCTTGTACTGACTGCATCACTCAATAAGACGACCCCCAAAATGGACAGAGTGCATGCGTACAGGACTAGAGGGGGTACTGGTATTGATATGCTCATGATGCAGTAGTGGAAAACCCCTGGGCTTGGCTGTGCAGCGACACCGCACGATGCATGTAGCGGTCACGGGCCGTGCCGCGCCGGCCAAACCACTTTTCACACTTCTTGCCAACCGCAGTGCAGGAAATGGGTGCCAATGCATACTTTTTTTTAATGCCAACTTACACAAAGGATTTTGTTACGCTTTTAATGGAAAGGGGACCGAGACTAACACGACGACTTGAGCGAAATGGGGACTTATAAAAGCCGACTTACATGTATAAATAAAATATTCAATGGAAATGCTTTAGACAATCGAGACTTTAGTCAGACGGCCGACTTGAGCGAATTGACGAGTTGTGCAATGTCGACTTGGCCGGAGTTTACTGTACATGTAAAAGACTTTAAATTCTGACTAAATTTCATGCATAACCAGACAGTACAAATTACTTGCTTTACTCACCTTTTTGAATGCAATTACATGTACAATGTAGGTCCTTTCATAAATAGTCTGATAGCTTGGACCCTACTTTTGCCTTTTTAACACAGGGCATGGTCTAGCGATAGTAAGGCCAAATAAAATTAAATGGTGTATTTACGATAACAGCCTGAAATAAATTTTGGTTGGTAGTTAGGGAAATACAGTAAACTTACGTGGAGGGCCGACTTATGCTGTTACATGTAGTTAGTCCTCATTTTGCCGATTTACATGAATGGCCTGTGCACATATGATTCATTCCACTAATTGGCTTCGATTTACCCTGGCTTCGCTGCAAATGTCACAAGCAAATAGTTTCTCATTAGTGTGACCTCTCTGATGTTATTGAAGGAGACATTTCCGTGAGAAGGCTTTGTCACAAATGTCACAAGTAAATGGTTTCTCATTAGTGTGGATCCGTTGATGTCAGTTTTAAATAGGTCACTGTTTAGTGCAAAGGCTTTGCCACAAATGTCACAAAGCAAAGGTTTCTCGTTAGTGTGGATCCTCTGATGTTGTTGAAGGTGACATTTCCCTGAGAAGGCTTTGTCAAAAATGTCAGTCACAAACGGTTTAGTGTGGATCCCCTGATGTTGCTGTAGGTTGCAACTTTGCAAGAAGCTTTTGCAGTAAATGTCACAAGTAAATGGTTTCTCATTAGTGTGGATCCGTTGATGTCGTTTTAGGTCAATGTTAAGAGCAAAGGCTTTGCCGCAAATGTCACTCACAAACTGGTTTCTCATTAGAATGAATCCTCTGATGTTGTTGAAAGTGACATTTCCGTGATAAGGCTTTGCCACTTACATGTATGTCACAAACAAATGGTTTCTCATTAGTGTGCATCCTCTGATGTCGTTGAAAGATATATTTCCGTGCGAAGGCTTTGTCACAAATGGCACAAACAAATGGTTTAGTGTGGATCCCCTGATGTTGCTGCAGGTTGCCACTTTGCGAGAAGCTTTTGCCACAAATGTCACAAGTAAATGGTTTCTCATTAGTGTGGATTCGTTGATGTCGGTTTAGGTCACCATTTAGTGCAAAGGCTTTGCCACAGATGTCACAAACAAACGGCTTCTCATTAGTGTGGATCCTCTGATGTTGTTGAAGGTGAGATTTCCGTGAGAAGGATTTGTCGCAAATGTCACAAAGCAAAGGTTTCTCATTAGTGTGGATCCTCTGATGTTGTCGAAGCTGACGTTTTCGTGAGAAGGCTTTGTCACAAATGTCACAAACAAAAGGTTTCTCATTAGTGTGGATCCTCTGATGTTGTTGAAGGAGATATTTCCGTGAGAAGGCTTTGTCACAAATGTCACATGCTAACGGTTTAGTGTAGATCCTCTGATGTTGCTGCAGGTGGCCACTTTGAGTGAAGCTTTTGCCACAAATGTCACAAGTAAATGGTTTTTCATTAGTGTGGATTCGTTGATGTCGTTTTAGGTCACTGTTTAGTGTAAAGGCTTTGCCACAAATGTCACAAACAAATGGTTTCTCATTAGTGTGAATCCTCCGATGATCTTTAAGGCGACATTTCCGTGAGAAGGCTTTGTCACAAATGTCACAAACAAATGGTTTAGTGTGGATCCTCTGATGTTGCTGCAGGTGGCCACTTTGGGTGAAGCTTTTGCAACAAATGTCACAAGTAAATGGTTTCTCATCAGCATGATTAGTGTGGATCTGTTGATGTCTTAGTAGGTTGCTGTTATGCGCAAAGGCTTTGCCATCAATGGCACAAGCAAATGGTTTCTCATTAGCATGACCTCTCTGATGTTGTTGAAGGTGACATTTCTGTGAGAAAGCTTCGTCACAAATGTCACAAACAAAGGGTTTCTCATTCATGTGGATCCATTGATGTCGTTGAAGGTGACATTGCTGTGAGAAGCCTTTGCCGCAAATGCCACACGTATGCATGTATGCATGGTTTCTCATTAGTGTGGACCATCTGATGTCTTGTTTGACCTCTGAATGAAGCTCTGGTTGATCCTTTTTCTTGTCTGTTTTGCTGATGGCATTCATTGTGGTTGACACAGACTTTCAAGAATTGAAGACAGTCTCAAACCACCATAAGATTCCTGGATGGAAAAAAAATATATTTTAAGACCAACACGAGTGACATAAATCTACAGGGTGAGTAAAAAAAAAATGAAGTTCTGCATGAAGCACTTTCAAAATTTCAAAATCTAGGATATGAAAGCCCAATTAATGAGCTTCCTTTTCATACATGTACATGTAGTACAAGATTCATTCAAATATGTACTTATCAAGCTACAGAATTTAAAACACAACCACAGTTTTAAAGTTCTGTCCACAGATCACAAAAACGATCACTATTGCTAAAACAATAGAAATCTTGCCAATGTGATAACTTGAGAAATTACTTCACATAGGAACTTGAAATTTGGTTTGTAAGTTGTTCGTGATAGTCTTAAAGGGAATGTACATCATTGGCTTTTGCTGTAATTTTCAGAAATGAACTATTTTAGGGGTTAGTATAATAGATCAAATATTGTTACACTGACATTTTTGAAGTTTTGTGTTCGAAAAAGGTTGGAAAAACCAAGAAAAACAAAAATGTTCAAGTAGTCTGGTTCCCTGACTCCACAAAAGATCAAATGGATCAATTTATAGATGATGGAAAATTGTAAGGCAAGGGAACCAGTCTAGCTGGCCTGCACCCGTTCATGAACATGTAACCAATAGCAAACAAAATTTGGACTGAAAAATTGTAAATTTGGAGCAGTAGTTGAAAAATAGTTAGGTTTTTCCAACGCTGGTCGGCCGACCACCGTTGGAAATGTATACAAAAATACCATTTTCTTGAAAATGACTTCACACCAGGTGAAATAATTTTACAAGATGCTTGAGACTGTCATTTGCCAACATCCTAGTAACGTATTTCGTAAAAATCTTGGTAGTTTTATTTTTCGATGTTTGCAAATGTTGTATATTCCCTTTAAAGGGAAGATACAACATTTGCAAACATCAAAAAACTAAATGATCACATCATCACGAAATACATGTACATGTATTTTACTGGATTGTTAGGGAATTACAGTCTAAAGCATCCTGTAAAATCGTACAAATGTAGCTCCTGGTGTGCTGACATTTGCAAGAAAAATTGTATTTTCCAACGCTGGTCGGCCGACCAGCATTGGAGAAAACTGGTTTTTTTTCTCCACTGCTAAATTGTTGGGTTGCACCCCAACAAACGTGTGTGAATACTACATGTAAATAATGAAAGGTTTGCAGAAATACTAAACTACAAATGAATGAATGAACGTGTGAATAGGGGCCTACTATTATTTTTCTGAGTAATGCAGGGCTTGAAATATTCACTGGACCGTGGACTGTGTCTAGTGATTTCGGTGTCGGTCTAGTGCTGTGTATGACTGCACTAGTCCGGCTGTCTAGTGTTTTTTTCTTGCACTATATAAACAAAATGATGCCCAAATAAACTAGCAGTTAACTTAAGGTCTGATTCTGATCGTTTTCAAATTTGGACACATTCATTCTGAGTATTTGCTGTGTACTTCCACCGAAAATTATTGTCAAATTCGTGTACAGAAGTAATGTGGTGTGCGTTCTTCGCAATCACCTTCTAGTGCAGATCTGGAAGGTCACGACCCGGCACCGCTTTTCGTGTGCACTCGGTTCGGTTCAAGTGAAGAGCTTCATCTTGCGCTTTTCGGAATAGATCCGAAGACGTGCTTTCACGTGGTGTGTGTTCCATCCAGGTACCAGGTCGATCGGTTCACAAAAAGTGGAGGTACGAAATTTTGAAAATTTCAGCATTGTTTTTCGAGATGAAAATTCATGTTATTTACCATGTTTACCAGGGAACAAGGTGTGTGTAAAACATTGATATTCAAGCTTTATATTATATAGATGACAAGTATTTACGATTTGAGAAAAATCAATTGAAAGTCAAACGAAAACGATAGCACTTTTGGGGAGTTGCGTTTACGCACGTACTTTGTGTGTACGGTGTGCGTGGACTGGCTAGCTAGCATGCCTGCCTGGATGTGCGGCGCTAGCCAGTCAGCACTGGGCTACCTACATGTACATCCATGCCAATGTGCCGTGCCTTCGTGCCGTGGGACACGTGTTGCTTGGATCGTTTTGTCCGTTTCTGCTTCTAATTGAGGAGCTTTTTTTGGTGAAAATTTTCACCGGGGATAGTGAAAAGGGCTCCAGCTTATATTTTAGTGAAATTGACAACAAAAGATGTAAAGTAACTGTCGTATTTTTTCACCCTTTGCGACCGATAATCCAGTCATTGACTTCGCCCCCATAATGGACTCTCAACCACTTTGCCCCATATTGCCGTTAGAGTCTAACAGCCACATTGCCCCATGTCACTCAGTTCTCCCGAAATATATCTTCTTGTATTTATTATCTGAAACTCATAAAACAGATAGTCAGGGATGTTAGGGCGTTATAGGGGCTGTTTGGTTCAGATTCTTCCAAAAGCACCAAATTTGGCACAGATGTCGTCCATACCATACTATTTCACATTTTGACGGGCGCCAAGGCGGGCGTTCCACAGGGCCGCCATATTGGCAAAATCTAATATGGCCGCCAATCGGGTCAGGGGTCAATCAAACTAAACGAGCTAGAATCATAAATAATACCACTTTTCAGGTATGTTCGGAGTTGAATCTGATGTTATTTTAACGATTTGAGGCAAGACAAACGCCCCAAGGGCCCGCCATATTGGCAAAATCCAAAATGGCCGCCAATTATCACAGTTAAAAAACTAAACCAGATAGAATCATAAGTAACACAACTTTGGAGGGATTTTGGTGTCAAAGAATATGAATCTGAGGTGATTTCAATAATTTGATGCAAGACGGATGCCCCAGTGGGCCGCCATATTGGAAAAATCCAAAATGGCCGCCAGCCAAGGTAGATGTCAGCTAAAAACTAGACGAGCTAGAAGCATAAATAAAACCATTTTACAGGGGTTTTCAGGGTCGGAGAATCTGAATCTATTGCTTTTTTTTAAAGATTGTAGTCACATTTTGTTCTAAAGGTCATTATACTAAGGGATTAGACTTAGGTATCAATAAAGATTATTAGTTGAACTACTTTTATTAAAATATTTGAAGATGATATCTTCTTCATTTTGGGCAAATCTCATTCTTGCCCAAGTTGTTGGACAACTGAACCTTTCTTTGTAACGGTCCATAGCTCCGATGCCTCGTTTGTCTGACGTCAGACTTATGAGGCGTTGGACTTACCAATAACGATACTATACGGCCCCCTAATCTTCACTCAAACACCAACATAAGCTACAAGTAACTGAACAATGTACATCAGAACTTGGGTCCAAAGTTGGTAAAGCATGACATTTGGCCAAGTATCATTTCATGTACCCACCCATGGTGGAGATGGGGCTAGAAGTTTTGGCATAAACCACAACAGTGACAGTCTGATTTTTGTGTGTGTCTGAACTTGGCATAAGGAGGTACATGTAGATGCAGTGTAACATACAAATAATTGAGGGGCTTTACTGTTCAATAGTGAATTCACTAATCTGTCCGGTACATTGCCTAATCAGGGAACATTTAATTTGTCTCCAGATCAGGCAACACATTTCCAAAACAGGATACCATTCACAGATATTATATTTTGCTCATAATTTTTTAAGCACATTGAAAAAAAAAATTGAAGATAAAAACTTATTGGATTACTTATTGGACAAAATGGAAAAAAACCCATTTACTTATATTATTAATTTTACATATATTTTTCTCAAAAAAGAATATTTCATATTCTCATAATTTTTAGTCTGCAACACCTCACCGCTTCGTTATATAAAGATGTAGATCATTAAAAATTGCAGGTCAAAACAGTCAGATGAAATTAAATTAATGTTTCCTGAACAGGAAGCACTCTTATTTTACATCATGGATGGTCCCTGTTTGGGAAACGTTGTAAAGTGTCTCCAATTTTGGAGACATCTAATTGTTCCCTGTTCAGGAAACAGCTACGGCATCTTCAGTTCTGGAGACACTTTAAATGTTTCCTGATTTGGGAACATTGTGGATGTTTCCATATCTGGATTCATCGGATTGTTTCCATTTTTGGAAACATGCCTGCCATGTTTCCTGTTTAGGAAACATTTATCTTCTTATGGCAACACTTTTAAATGATATAACATGTGTGATTAGGGTATTGTAAGTAAACTTCAAAAAAAAAAAATTTTTCGGCTTCATTACAGTGTTGGAGTACTCGTACCGGGTACCTGAGTACAACTCGAGTACACTCAAGTACTCGGCCCGTGCATTGTGGGAGACGGTCGACAAAACATGAACTGACATGACGTCATCCTACAATTGCATCCTTAATACCCTGTATCTACAGAACCGGAAGTCCGATCGGGTTCAAACTTGGTATGTAGGTATTCCAGGAAGGGTTATGGACAAAAATTGTAGTGACGTCACTATGATGTAATCATGTGATTTCATATAAATTATTCAATTTTTGGACCTTTTACTCATATCTCATGAACGGAACAAGGTAAATTCAAAGTTCTTTTTGTAAACGGTTTGTTAGGTGAAAGATAGATGTACAAACTTTCGTAAAATGTGTGACGTCATCATTACATCATCAAAAATATGATTTTTTTGATTCACATATAAGGGTATGTCCAATCCTTATGAAACTTGGTGGGCAGGTACATGTAGGTATTGATAAAAGCATTGAAAATCTGCAGTGATGTCATCATGACTTCATTGATCATCTGATTTTTTATAAATTTGTTTAATTTTAATATTTTCTTCTAATTACCAAAATTAGATAAAATACTACCCGATCAACTTCAAACCTGGCATACACTTAGACCACCATCTGGAGATTCAGGCTGAATCATGACATCATCATGACGTCATCATGTGTCACGTGACATCATCCTTAAATTGTGATCTTATCGCCATCATGTGATTTTATACGAACTATTCAACTTTTGGACCTTTAAGCCTCTTAAACACTTCGACCACCAGTAGGCTATAGAATACTCATGGAATTGTTCATTCAACTTGGATGAAACTCCTTTGAGGCAGTTGTTGCT